TAGAATGCCGGTGGTTCGATGCCGGAATGAGGCTGGACCGGTACTTTTGTACCGGTGGGGCAGAGGCCGGCCTCTATGCTGCGAGGCCTGGCCGTGCCCTGAACCGCCAAGATCGACGGTTCAGCCCCAACCGGCGGGCGGCAGCCTCAAGAGCGCCGCCAGGCCCAAACGGTAATGTGGTTTGGGCCTGTTTGTCGGGTCTGGTCCAAGATGAGGCCTTTACGGCCTGTAGTACCGCCAAGGTCGGGCCTTTAGGCCCTACTGTGTCCCTCTGGCCCTGAGTCGGGTCCGGTAGGACCCGTGTGGCGTCGAAGATGTAACATTTACCAGGACACATCTCATTGAATAACCCAGGAGTACCATATGGAAATGGGATAAGGGACGAGTTCGCCATACATTGTCTTGTATCTGTGACCTTATATCCACCTTAGCTTAAAAGACGCCATAGAGAAATTATTTTCTATGACAGGAGCACCTAATATGCAAAATTGTCAGTAAGACAGCCTGCCTAGAGATGAACTCAAAAAGGGACCACCATTCCATTCCTGCTTCCAGGAGGCTAAAGAACAATGGTCTAATCCCCCCTGAAAGGAAGATCCTGTGGCGTGTAACCAGGTCGAATCCCACCAGGAACAGATTTGTAAAGCCAGTGGGCATGTCAGCAAGCAATACTGAAGTGCGGTTACTGCTGTTTTTGCTGCCGCGTTGTTGGTAGAACTGGCCTTGCCGTTCTAGACTGGTACTTGACACTAACCAGTCTGTGAAGTGAAATCTGCCACGGCCCACTGAAACTGATGATGTGAGGCTGGCACACGTTTTGCCTAAGAGAGTCAGGCTGGGCCTGGGACCTTTTGCACTTGCAGAGGAGAGTCCCGTCTATTTATTGCTATTTGAGTACGGGAGAGGAATTGATGACTACACTGCTAACCTTTGCGAGCTCAACACCGGTTGCAAGCCCCTGGGTTTGGAAAAGCTATGATTGCCCACTTTCCATTCCCAGTCTGATGGGTCAAATTGTAGGGAGACAATTAGGGTAGCTGTTTCAAAAGCATAATAGTCTTCCTTTAAGTTCCAATCCATTAGCACTTAGCTTTGAGCAGCTGAGACCAGTGTATGCATTGGTCCAGCGTTTCTTTGCAAGATGGTAGTGCATACCTACTACCTGGAAGGAGCCACTCGTAAGCTCCATGAAAGAACCTTGCTCCCTCTTCCTTTGAACAACATAGACCACAGTAGGAATAGGAAGGGAGTGGTACTCAATCAACCATCCCTAGGAACTGTCTCCCAAGCTAGTGGGATAGCATCCAGTAGCAACTGAAGCTTGGCCTCCTTATTCTTCCCATACCTTAAGCCACCAGTACGTTTCCTAGCCATTTTTCTCAGGTGCCGCTGTCCACACGCCGCGCCAGGCCGGATGCACTGGCCTCTAATTCTGCCTGGAGCACAACTCGTTTTGCCTCGGTATTTTCCAGGCAAAATCAGAGGCTGCTGCATCCCGCCCGACATGGCGTGTAGACAGCCGCATTGGAGAAGAATGGCTGGGAAACGTACTGGTGGCTTGCAGCATAGCTCCTTATTCTTCCCATACCTTAAGAGTGCAGCATCACAGCCTGGGGCACTGGCATAAATTCATTCAAGTGGAAACATCACAGCACGGTAGGAACGGCTGGACGCATGCGCGCCGCGGCTTCCGGAAGGTGGTTTGAGGGTGCAGCACAACCCTTTCCACCTCCCATGCTTAAGTCCCAAAGATCAGCTATCCCGTAGAAGCCTCTGTCCACCGAAGTTAACCATGATGAACCCCTACCCAAAGGAAGCAGATGGCACCAGATTTCCAAAAACTGGCTGCCTATATAACCTGTACCACCCCAAAGGAGGTTTTTCTTTGCCACTCCCATTTTCCTCCATAATCTAATCATGTCTGCCCACGGCGGGTCCCTTCAAGTCATATTGTACCACAGACTATGAGATCTATGGTACTTGGGGAGTAAGTTACCAACCATGATGCATTGTGAGCCACTGAAGTGGGTGGACCAGTTCTGAGGGGGGGGGGGGGGGGGGGGGGGGGGGGGGGGGGGGGGGGGGGGGGGGGGGGGGGGGGGGAGTGGAGGGAGATGGAAGAACAGTCTCATCTGAAATACACACCAGTCGTGCCCTGAGTATATCATTACCCGGTAGCATTCTGAATATCACTTTATAAAGCGCATTTGCAATCAGACTCGTTCTCATTCACACTTTTCATGCATGTAAACAGTAGCGCAGCAAACTGGAGACATGCGCCCACTCAAAACTCAGAGATATGGCATCCATATACGAGTTCACTTTCAATTGGCTATGGCGACTCAGCGCCCAAACAACTCACTGTTCACATACACCGGATCACCCTGGATATCCCACACGCAACTCTTTGAACTTACACACACACACACTACACACTAACTCTAGCTATGGCGGCTATGGCCGCAACTACCCTATCACTATGCTACGCTCCACCACTCTCGCCCACTTCAGCTTCGGGCTCACTGCAGACCTCCTTGCACAAGTTGCTGTGGCAGCGCTTCCGCATGGCTCACGCAGGAATGAATGAAAGGCTGGGCRCTGCCTCTTGATTTATACTTCTGAAACTCGTTGGTCTGCCCTCTTCCATCAGCCCATGGTGCTCAGTCCCTTGT